TTCTTTAATATATTTTTTGTTGTTGTTGAAATATTTCAAAATTATAATATATATATGTATATCCTAGATCTCTAAGATAAGATTTACAGTGTAGGAAATCTTCTAACATGGATGTTAATGAAGTAATAGCCTGGCTAGAAGCTATTACTGTACGTACAATATGACACAGTTGATTTTAGGCTTGCATTGTCATACCGACAACAAGCGTCTTCAAGTGACAACAAGCGTCGCCAACCAAAATCTTTAAAAATACCGAATAAAGTAAGGGACATCAGAAGATATGTTGTTAATATGCCTTTAATACACCTTTATACCAAATTTCAATTTTATATGTACTTACCTGTACAGTTGAGAAAGCATCGCCGCACAAAATCTTAATAAATACTTACTTAAGTAAGCGACATAAGAGGACATGTTATTCATAAGACTTGTATTGGTTTATATTCAATATTGTAGCTAGATGTTTGATAAAATGACCGAGTTCTGATGAATTGAATTTTACGATCGTCGGTTTGGCACACGACTGTGTAAGTAGAAACTCTAGAGATCCTGAAACGTTTTCAGATATTACCTCTAAAATTAGCCTATAAAGTAAGCGACATCGGAAGATGTTATTCTACAGGGGCTCGGTTTCAGGATACTCTCGGTTAGTAATAAACCTATACACACCAGTAAATAACAGCAACACTTTGTATCGAATCCGGTGTTAATACACATTCTTAAACCTTATACAAATTTAGGGTATAAAAGACCCCGGTACCCTCGAAACCGAGCCCCATGTGTGTTATTCATATGACTATAATAAACCTATTTGTCCCAAACTTCAGCTAGATATTTTTACCACCGGTGGCGTGGCACACGTGTTTTTAGTGATGTATGTTCATCTTTTGATCCATGTGCGACACGTGTGTGAAATTGACGATTTGTTTATAAAATATCAGTTTGAAGAACGACCCTGGCGATGGCCGCTTAATTCCCGCATGTTATAGAGGGCCGGGGTTCTGACGTTAATCGTCGCCAGACCGATATACAAAATAATCGATAAAACGTCTGAATAATTGAGACTAAAGTGTGTAAAGAAATCTACTGATCGTGAAGCGTCTTTAAACTATATCTCTAAAATTATTCTAAAAAGTAATCGACATTGGAAGATATGTTATTCATCTGAATATAATACACTACATTGGATGCACGAAATCAATACATCAAACGTTAAATGTTGGTAAGGGTGCGTCAGTTATGAAATTACTTAGATTTGCTCAAGGCAAATTAATATTAATGATTTCAGCTTCAAAAAAGAAAATCTGATGTGTTCACAGCTGCAAGGTTTTTAAATTACCTCCAATACAATACAGTCAAAACGTGCCATACTGCATTTTTACATAATTTTGTAAATTATCCACTTAACGTTCATGCCTGTATAAATATTGATGCGTAAGGCTATGAATGCAAATTAACATATTAAAGTAGTGCTCGTCCTTGAAGTTGTTTACAAACCAGCAACTCAAATATGTAAACACCTCGTAAACGTGATAATTGTTTTTTTTTATTAATCTTGACTGGACTTAAGGAAGTGTTGCGTCAATAGTCTGATGTAGGTGTTTGTGACCAGGTATCTCAGTGAATTATATTATTTTTTTGTCAAGGTATCTCAGTGAACTATATTATTTTGTGATCAGGTATCTCAGTTGTCTATAGGTAGTGCGTCTGTTACTGTTCGTGACTAGGTACATGTAGCTCATTGAACTATAATTAGTGATTGTGACCAGGTATCTCAGTGGTTTATAGTATAATTAGAGTTTGTGACCAGATATATCTATGATCCATAGGTAATTTGTGACCAGGTATATCAATGATCTATAGCTACTGCTTGTGAACACGTATCTGAATGGATTATACATATGGTTGAAATTGACTAAAACGTTACATGTAATCAGTTATTATTTTTTTTGTTTTCATATTTAAGAAAGTTCTGATTATTTCACACGTGACGAAAAGTGAAACATATAAAAATAAGTCAAAGTCATTGACCTAGGTCTAGTATAATTCCTTGGTGAAATGACGAATCATATCTACATGTAGCTTATTTTCCATATTTCGTGAGTTACGTCCCCTTAACACCTTTCGACTCATAGGTCTATCTAAGTCCGTGCTAGAATTTGCCATTTTCAGCCAGTAAACTTGCTTACATTATTGTAACTATTCTGATACCCAATAATTTCAGCAGAAATAACTACTAAAAAGTCGATTGACAATCTAAAGTGTTGGGTTTTTTTTATCTAGGGGGCATATACACATGTAATATTTGATTTTGAGCATACGGCGTCTCCCTCATAACAAAAATTAAAAGGCTGGCAAGTAAGCATTTATCATTTATTACCATGTATCATTTGTTTACAAAACATAAGTGCAATTCACGCCTTCATTAAATACAGATACAATTAAAGGACAAATATTAGAAATAATAACGTTAATGGTAAAAGACATTGTACATGTAAAGGGGACTTAATGGAATGCTTGATGTTTGTCATTTTTTGTAAGTTTCGTTGTTTTTAATAAAATAGAAGAGACAAAACTGATGAAATAACCTGCCAAAAGACAATTTTCTCTACACGTCTAAATACATTTTGTGCATTTAGAAAGCATGGCAATGCATTTTCCTTAACACATTACAAACTTCAAGCAATTGGCCTGCCGCCTAATCATTTATAAATTTATGAATATCGAATCCCCCTCGACTTCCCACCATGAACCACAGGGGATCAATTCGTTACAAATGTCTGACATATACCATATGCTATGTTGATATATGGGTCACAGCATATGTGCTATGCCCCATATCAGTATAGCATATGCGTATTTCAGCCATTTGTAACGAGCCCCTGTGATTGAACCTAGTACTAATATTAATACCCGGCCTCCTCTGCCCCGGACGACGCAATATATAAAAACAATCCTGTCGTCAGAAAGCTACGTTATCGCAGCTAGATTGAACCACAGGGGTTCGTTACACCTGTGTATGTTTATGTGTGTTGTGACTCATACCAGTATAGCATATGTGTATTTCAGACATAGCACCAGGGTGGGGAGGGGGACGGGGGAGTCATGTAGTGACATATAAAGCCAGTAGTATATACGTCTCTGTTGTGACACAGACACGAATTCGAACTGACAAAATAGCTAGGCTACACATACTTACTTTGAACCCACACATGCGCATACATACATGTATCTCAGGCGGCTCATCATCATTGTCGTTGGAAAAAATGCACAGTCCTAGTTTTCGTGAAACCGACGGTTTCTTGTTGAAAGAGTGACAAACACATATTCAAATTGGTAAACGTTTGAGTCAAACATGGAACTTGTCTGTGATGAGGTCAAAACTGGTAAACTTCACTCCAAACTCTTGTTGATCATATCCTCTAGCGTTCGGTAGTATTGCAGGCTTCCTGGTGAAGTTTCCTGTTCCGGTCTTTTTCAACCAATCATAATGTGGCAAATTTTCAAGCCCGCGATTTTCAAGCCGCAAATATTTTCATTGCGAAACCTGATTCGGCAAAATCATAGATAACTAAAATTTATAAACCCGTTATAGGGAAGAAACACTTCAAACCATAACGAATACGTTTGCAAAGTTCACGTAAATAAGATACGATTTGAAACATATTTTTTATTCCCACAGAGATGTTAAAAACGGCGATGGTTTAGCTTCTGATCTATTAATAACCAATCAGAGCGTCACAAGTTTTAAAGTCCGTTCTGCACAATTTAAAAAATGGCCGCCGCAAATTTGTTGAGCAGACGCTAGCTCTTATGAGCATTTGTATTGAATGGAAAAATAAAAAGAATGAGCATGTCCATACTCCAGACTTTTTAAAAATGAACACCGCGAAGGATTGAATGAGTTGACGTCCGGATAAAATGTGGAATTTCTCCAAAAGTACGAATGGTACATTGGACTCCTGAGGATTTGTTTACTATATAATTTGTTTTGCATCCGAAACAGTTGGAATTGTGAAGATAACTCGTTTACTATTCAGTTTATTAGGTTTATACATATTATTTTCAATAAATGGTTTAATAGGTTTTTACAACCTAGTGCATCTTATACCTTAACTCTTCTGTGACGAGGAAACAGGAAAAGGGATAACATTTTTAAAGGCTATGTCTCGTGCTAAAATTCAAAAAAGCTTTATTCCAGTGATTGCTGATTATTTGTCTACATGACTCAGGTGTGATTCATTTATCATTTTCTATCTATAAATAAACAAATATACTTCAATGCCTTTTAGCTATTACGATCATAATTAGTTAAAATATTTATCAGAGCGTATTTGTATCAGTCTTAGCAGATTGTTTGTCTTTAGATAACTAATTGCAGTTGTAATAATGCTGATTTGAGATGTGAAGACACCATTAAAAACCGTATTTGCAATGGTTTCTGGTAGTCTTAAATATTTTCTGTACTCAAGTAGACAATAAGGAGGCACGATAGTCTAGTGGTAGGACGCCGGGCTCGTGACCGACGGGTTACGGGTTCGAGTCATGGCACGGTACTGTATTGTATCTTTGAGCAAGATACTTAACTCTGCTTGTTCCGGTTGACTCAGTTGTAAATGAGTACTTGGTGGGGCAACGCTAGAATTGTTGACTGCTAGCTGTTAGCGCCGAAATAGCAGCTTCGGCTTATGCTCCCCAGGGAGTTGAGACAGATAGTGGCTGGTTGCAAAGGCCCTATAACCACCAAAATAATTTCTGAACCGATTTGAGACGACTTACGAACCAGGTTGCGATAAAACGGTATATAAGAACCACAAATTACTATTATTATAAAATAGCTGGTTATGTTGAAAAGAAATGCAACGCTTGACAAACCACAGAAACGTGTCTTTTGTAATCACAGCTGTGTGTATTATCGTTTATGACTGTACACACTTCTGACTTGACAGCACCGTATGTAGTTAGTTATAATTGCTTTAAACCTAACTAGTATTGGAGAGTGAACAGTTTAACTGTGTACTACTGTATGTCTCGTACACTATATGTCACTGATGAACATCCCGTTTTGTTGCAAATGGGATTTATATTCAAAATGAGATTACCTATAAGAATACATCGTTATTACACTGTAGTATCAGGTAGGTTAAATTTTTAATATTGTTTTATATTGGATATAGCATAGTGTAGTAAAGCATATCCTTTATATTAGACTATACCTTTAACAATAAACCAAACAATCTTGAAAATTAAGAAGTATTCCGTGTTCTGTATTGTTATAATTGAAAAGAGACAAAACGGATTTCATTTTAATTTCAAATTATTTGCATTTTCTGATGGGTTTTTTAAGTTATACTCTCGTGTTTAGCATACAGACAACCTAACTACACACATAATATACTCTGCTCTGTTTTTTTGCCAAATAATAACACAAATACATGTCTAGTCGAAATGAGCATTTATTATCCCCCGCTTTCCCCGAAACGGGGGTTATTAATTTGGGGTTGTCTGGCTGTCTGGCTGTCTGTCACACTTAATTTCCGTGCAATAACTACAACAAATGTTAACCGATTTCCTTCGAACTTGGTCACAGGGTTAAATGACTTAAGGGCTCGACCAAGTTCGATGACCACTTTCAGCGGACTTTATTTAGCGGAGTTATGGCCCCTTGAATAATGAAAAAAAAATATCTATCGTGCTTCGTTTCCATCAAATAACTACACAAATGTTAATAAATTTTCTTCTTGGTTACAATATTTAATGCCTTAAGGGCTCAGCAAAGTTTAATGACCACTTTCAGCGCACTCCATAACGTCATTATCTACTGCGTTTCGTTTCCATGCAGTAATTATAACAAATGACAACCGATTTTCTTTAAACTTGGTTACAATGTTAAATGCCTTAAGGGCTCGACAAAGTTCGCTAATAACTTTCAGCGGACTTAATTTGACGGAGTTATGGCCCCTTGAATAACGAAAAACATCATTATCTTTTGCGTGTCGTTTCCGTGCAGTAACTAGGTCACAGGGTTAAATGCATTATGGTCTTGGCCAAGTCCGATGACCACTTTCAGCAGACTTTATTTGGCGGAGTTATGGCCCCTTGAATAACGACAAACGTCATTAACTGCCATGCAATAACTACAAGAAATGTTAACCGATTTTTTTCAAACTTTGTCATATGGTTCAATGCCTTAAGGGCTCGGTCAAGTTTCATGACTACATTCATGGGACTTTATTTGGTTGAGTTATGGTCCCTTGAATAACGTGTCAAACGTTTCGGTGCAATAACTGCAACACATGTTAACTGATTTTCTTCAAACTTTGTACAAGGGTTAAATGCTTTCAGGGTTCAACCAACGTTGATGACCTCTTTCAGGATACTTTATTTGGCGGAGTTATGGCCCCTTAAATAACGAGAAAAATCGCTATCTGCCATTTCTGTTCATTCACTCTCGCGAATATTATCCGATTGTCTTCAAACTTAGCGGAGTCATTATCTGCAGTTTCCGCTTAATAAATCTAGCAAATAATAGATAAGGTGTTTTTTCTTCGAGTTTCAAGCTATACATTATGTCTCAACAGCACGATACTCACATGTTTAAACCTACTGTTACCTCAATAATGTTTACCTACAATATGTCCTGAAAGCGGGGGATATAAATTCCAGTAATAGAATTATGACCAATATATACATCTTGATGGTATAAAGGCAACAAAAGATTGGGTAACTACAATAGAAAAACGCCACACCAGCCATACATAGCACAGTCATATTACGGTGGACATGCAGGGGAGGAGGGAAAACAATTTTGCTGTTAAACCAGCGTGGTAATCTTCGTGTGTTTACGATTTTTTCTGTGGAGTGTCATGTACCATCCGACACCAAAACTAGTCGTAGCCGGTCTAACTCTGTTTCCGGGCTGGCCACCTTTTACCTTTCCGGAATAAAAAAGACTGGTATCACATGCAACTGTAATTATTGAATACCACAAATACATTAATTGACTAACATAAAAATAGGCATTAACAAAACAGATTGTATAAATTACTTTATGTATAAACCTAGATACAAAAAATAGAAAATTGTCTTCTACATACAGTACTGGCAATATGGTTATCATGCGATTGATATTAAGAATGTCACATCATGTATTATACATTTGAAACAAACACAAAGTATGCAAAGAAGTCAACTTAAGAATACAAATAAGTTTAGACCTTTTATATTTTACAACAATTATGAAACAAGTTATTTTAACTTATATTAATCACCCTGGTTTGCCCGGATGTTTGCGCTAGGGGGTCTTTATATGGTAGGAAACCGGAGTACTGGCGAAAACCCACGTGATCGGGCAGGTGACCCCATACCTCATCACGTATCATCGGGAATTAATCCCGATCGCCTTGGTAAAAGGCAAGTGCGCTATCCATTGCGCCACCCGAATACCATAATAGAAATACAGCGAAGACCACCGTTCTGATCGAAGTGTCCATTCCCCTGAGAGCTTGATTATACCTTAATATTCTTAAGAATTTAGTTAACTTCATCGACATAGTTAGACCTGTTCATAGTTCACTCACTTCACTCATTATTTACCAATTACTCCTCTCAGCTTCGATGTTGTTTTTAAATTAGAAGGCTTAACCCGCTCCCCCTTCTGTTTCAAATGTAGTTTAGACTAATTGAGTTTTTAACTTGTTTGCCCCTAGAAGTCTTGGGTGGACAAAATAGTTGTATGGTGCAGAGTAATTTATGTTAGGCCTACAGTATAAATAACGAAATTTAAAGTTTCAGTTGACTGTGTTTCTCTTTCGTTCATATTGTTAGTATTACTAATACCTCATTATTTTGAGATTGAAGCAACCCGGATTTATAATAAATGTCAAGAATCTGCAAAAAGACAATTACAACGAACAAAGATTAAAGTTTTCAAAACTGTACTTTATATGTTATGGTTAAGATAAAGTGATAACTAAGGTTTGCCAAAGTAAATTACAAAAACAATGAGACTAGTTTATTGCATATTTAGTACGTAAGTGTGTTATTGTCCTTGCAGGTAACAGATATGACACAAAAGTTCGTGGATGCAGTAAGTGGACTCTGTTCCAAGCAGCCAAATGTGGAGACATCCGACAATTAGAGAATTGAACTGCATATAGCTGTTGCTAACAGGCAATACAAATTCGTGCAGTTTCTTTTAGATGAGCGCCTCCATTACATCAAAAACGGAGCTGATTTGGACATCCAAGGGTTAAATGCTTTGCGCATTTGCGTCAGAAACAGGGACGCTGAAATATATCGTTTGCTTCAGAATACACAGGTTTTGATACCGGAATTACAACTAACGATGAAAAAACTGTCCTTGATTTAGCAAAAGAGAAACATCATAATCACCTCTTGGACCTCATCGGTATGACGCAAAATATTGAGGTTAAAGGTAAGGATGTTACATAAATAATTATATTCACAGTACAGGCAAAACACTGGACGATTCCACTGCAGTTTTTGTACGTGCAGTAGCCTATCATAAGATCATTCTGGATATAACTGTAGGACGATAAGGCTAGAGTATTATCATTGACTGGATAGCTCACTCTAGCCAAAATTGACAGACGGACGGACCATTTTGGATATAACTGTAGAATGAGATAGCAAGGGTATTATCATTGACCACTATCATGGGACTTTATTTAGCGGAGTTATGGCCCCTTGAATAATGAAAAAACATTATCTGTCGTGCTTCGTTCCATCAAATAACTACACAAAGGTTAATAAATTGTCTTTAAACTTGGTTACAATGTTAAATGCCTTAAGGGCTCAGCAAGTTTAATGAATACTTTCAGCGCACTCCATAACGTCATTTTCCACTGCGTTTCATTACCATGCAGTAACTATTACAAATGATAACCGGACGGACGTTTCGGAACGGCACTGGAATCCTCAGGAAATACTGACGATTGTTTACTTGTTTACAATTTTTGTACTGAGTGACAAATTAGCTGATCTTATATTCAAATCATGCCTCTCTAACGACCAATTGGGTTTTCTGATTTTATACAATACTGGACTTTAGAACGTCATACAAAATTTGGTTGTCATAAAAAATAAAATAATGAAGTAACGCAAATTCAAACCTATCAGCTCAATATTAAGTTAAAACTAATTTATGGGTTTTATGTACCGTGATTTTTTTCTAAAGTTTAGACATATCATAACCGGTGAGTTCTAGAAGGACAAAACAGCTTTATGGTGCAGCGTAGTTAATTGTTTGGCATACGGTATATAACACCAAATGTTAAACGTACAATAACTCTGTCTTATATTCACCTTTAGAAAACTTGATATTAACTTATTTTATTTGTAGGCAACTCTTGGTTGACCTGGACTGAACTACATCATTGTGCAGTCAGTGGATCGGTGGCGGAATGCTCAAGGCTGATTGAAGATTTTCCTGAAGATGTCAATGTTGAAGTTGACACCGATTTCAATCCTTACAACAACCTTCAGCTGCCCAAATATGGAAAGATGTCACCGTTAGAACTGTCAATGCACAGTGAAAACATATTCGTCATGGAGATATTAGCAAACTATTCGTCTTTCAGAACCATCGAAAAATGTTTGGCTGGTATTCGAAACATCTCAACAAAGAATATTCTCGTCAGAGGAGTTCTGACACAGCTTCGAGAGAAACACAAAGATGTACAGTATGGCAAACTGATTGCAACTTGTGAAAATGTCATAGTTATTTACACCACCGATCAACTGGTCGATGCATGTTCGAAAATAGCTGGCATAAAAACGACATACAAAAACACTAACGGGTTCGACCAGGACAATGAAACAGCCATCGACTTTGAATTAGATATGAAAGTGCCCGGTCTGTCGATAGAAGAAAACGCACAGATGAAAGATGTAGTTGATGCGAACAGTGACACTCTTTGGAAAAATCACGAAAACCTCAACGGAATTCGTATATCGGCCGTTCGTACTACGGGTGGAAAAGCATCCCGAGATAACTGTATTGTTCTGTGTTGCAAGTTCAAAGGATTTTTAACAGAAAAGGAAGAAGAATTCCCTCGTAGTTTGCGTTGTAAGGATATCTTCTTTCCAGTTGACGTTCGAGAGGAACATATTGTCTTGTTGACCAGTCAACCGTCAGACAAACTGGAACCTTTGGCATGTGGAGGTCGTATCATCGGAAGTTGTGCAGACAACAAGGTTTGGGGGACAATTGGACCTTTCGTTGAATTGCCCTATCAGGAAACAGGATTTCTCACTTGTGCGCATGTTCTTGATAACAATCCTGCTTTTGGTGTGCTGTCCGGACGCAATCATCTCGTATATCAACCGAAGAAAGACTCTAATGCAGATTATCTGTGTGGTGAAGTAGTGAAAATGGCCTTCAAACCAAGTGAAAATCCGTCTATTGATGCTGCTGTCGTGAAAATTACGTCTGCGTTGCGGATTCCAGAATCAATCAACTTCGTTTCTTTTTAACAAGGTACATTCCTTGCTGCAGGTTTGAATTGTGTTTAAATGGACTATTTTTGGTGTTACAGTACAGATTACAATCAAATCTGACAAAATAAAATAGAAATGGTGAACAACAAATAAATTGATAAAAATATATATATATATAAATATCCTTGAGGATATGTAGAAGAAATCGTAGAGTTCATTGACTTCCTTTACTTTCAAGATCATAATGACTGAAGTATTCTAACAAAATACGTTCAATAGTTTATAGTTTATGATACGACTACAATAAAAAAATTGTGAACATTGGTTTGAAAGGCTTTGCTCGTTTCCACAAAATCGACTTTGAAAATGATTAAAATTATAACTTATCGATTTCTCAAAAAAAAAAAAAAAAAAAAAAGTTGACGCGTTTATTGAAAAAATAATTTGATTTCTAATCAATATTTCTGAAGAATTGATGATCAGAAAAAGCTGCAGTTGACCTTGTAATATCAAAATGTAAAAGGTTACAATCTGAAATATGTCTCTATCAAAACATCAATTTCAGGGCAAAATTAATTACCGCAGTGTCTGAAATTATTTACCGCAAAAAGAATAATGAAAAACATAATATTTTGGTTTTATAGGTATTGCAGAAGGATTGACTTTCAACACAGGAACCATTGGAGACTGCCAGCCGACCAGTCCCGTTTTGAAATTCGGCGCGTTTACTTCAGATTTGAGGTGTGTCTGTTAGTACGATAGGACACGAAGAAAAGATTGATTATCCTCAGGGTAAAGTTCTTATGAAGGGATTAACAAGAATACTGTGTCGTGTCGAACATGAGAAAGGTGACTCTGGAGGGGGAGTGTTTGTGAAAAATGCCGAAGACAAACTCGAGTGTGTTGGACTATTCTTTGCTGGAAGAGGCCGAGACGGATATTTTATTCCCATCAAAGATGTTTTGATGCATTGTGGGGGTTACAAACTCAAAGAATATCCTTAAACTTTCTTGAAATAGCACTGCTTTGACAAAATGGTTAATCGTTGTATATAGTTCCTCCTTTATCATCGTTCTGCAAGTTTTGAAAGATAAGAACGATATAGGATAATTGTATCCTGGATTGGTGTCAATTTTTTAATATATATTGCTGTTTTCATTATTGTTGGAAAGTAATAAATGACAATATATATTATATTTAATCGCGTGTAAAATTGTCAGATTGCATTCTTCTCAAGAACGTACCTTTAGTAGGTATACATCTCAACAATAGTCTGTTATTGATTACGATTCCAAAAGGTAAGGTCAAAAATATATAGATAATTCTATTACAGGTCAGAGGTAATTGTATTAAAATTAAACACCATTAAATGTATACCGTTGATTACAAGACTAAAGTCAAATATTGTTCTGTTAAAGGGGTTATTTAGTCAAGCAACACCATTAAGACAAATTAGATACTAGAAATAAAGATTTTCTAACGAAAGTCTACGTAGTTGACAATGACATAATCTGAAACCAACGTCCAGTGTGGTCAGTTTTATCTTTTGGGAAAGCCGTTGATAAAAATACCTACGAAGGAGCGCAATATCCGGGTCTTTCAGCAAGAAGTTAACATAGTGAGATATCTGTAGGTAAACTTAAAACTAAATTACTAATTTATAACGATAATTGAGATGTTGTTTGGATGATGCTATTGATTCAGAATAAATGCCAGTACTTGTATTCGGAAAAAGTTAGCTGTGAAAATAGAGTAAATTAACCTTCAATCCACGGCTGGACAGACACATTTCACCGACAGTTACCACTAAAACATTCGGTTGCACAGTTAAAGATTTCTTCAATCCTGGACAGGAACGCCAAGAAAACATTGTCTCTTGTCAGTTTCTAGACATGTATTGGTCACAATGAGTATCAATATATGTTTTCATGAAGAATTTTTAAACTAGGTTTTTAAAAATCACTTACTTCACTAAATTGTCCCTTTAAGACCCCTGTCCCACTGCATGCAAAGCACCAGAGAACGTCATTGCAGTTCTTATGATACAGAGTCATCTCCCGTTAATACATTTTGATGTAACTGTAGCGCAACAGAGAAAGACAGTGTAGTGATCGGGAATCATAGGTACTTATTCTTTTTCAGATTTCGTTATATTTTTTAATTCAATTCACTGTAGATTATTTATTTCATCTTTTTCATGTTTTCATAAAAAATTTGCAAGTTACTGATTTGTTATTACAAAGCTGTATTCATGACATGAAAAATAATGCCAATGCATAATTATGGTTGAAACATTGGTACGGCAGATTGATTGATAAATTGATATTACACTGTAGGTATACGATATTCATTATCTAAAAAATTCCATAAGATTAAAGTAAAAAAATCAGATATTTACTTCTTTATCATATCTCACAATCAGTCCAATACCATTTTTTTCTTCGAAAATTTATCCGAAATGAACAATTTCATTTGCCGAATAACTTCGATTAGAAAAAGTAAAGCTTCTGAAAGAGGCAACCGGGATGATATCAAATTGTCAAATTGTCAATTTGTAAGGTCGTAAGAGTTGCTTCCCCTATGTCAGTAAAACTTAACAGGGGTCGCTTCTCGATAATTCTTTTAGGGAGGCTCTACCCTTCAGCAATTATACGGCAGATTTCGTTGAAACATTTACATAATACTTATTTAACCATGTAGAGGTGTTTTTAAGAAAATCTAAGCAATCTAATACATAGATGATTTTTAGGGGCAAAATATAAAAAAAAAAATAGATTTTGTCAATTTTTACATAGTTATCAATTTTTTATGGTTTTGTGTGTGTGTGACATTGTTTGGAAAAATACCAACAAATAATAAAGGGAAAGAATCACTGTTAACTTACCAAACAAATATTTTATTTTTCACAAATATGTTAAAAGTTATACAAATAGTATTTTTTCCTTTGAAATTGTAATCATAAATGTGATTATCTACAAGCTAAAAACAAACGTAATATATATAGTTTCTTGTAAAATGGATGAAAAATACCAAAAAATACACTATTTTTACAATAATTTTGATTTCGATGGGAGTTGTCTTCCTCGAAAAAAATCGGAACTTTTTGCAGAGGGATAACATTTTTCATCAAAACAGTTATCTCCCTTCACGTACATAAAATGGAATTATATCAAAATTGCCCAAATTACTTAAAGTTGAAAAAAAGATGAACACAGTATTGCGCATGCCAAGTGTTCTATAATCAAATTTTCCTGATAATCCGAACATTTTTTTTAATCTTTTTTTTTTAATTTTAAAATATAGAGTCATATACAAACAAGTAAAGCTTATGTCAAAACATAAAATCAAGTTTCGCTCGATCATGTGGACAATGGAGGATGTGTTCTTTGATTCTTTTAATTATCCTAATATCTTAGGTTCAAGGAGTTATCGATAGAAATTAACAATGAACTTTAAATCAACCCCACATTAACTGTGCTCATATATATCTTGCGTATTGTTAAAATTCTTGTTAATTGAGGAAAAAAATGAAAAACAAATCTGACGTTTCTCCTATGGTCCGTACCAGTCACACTGAAGATTCCGGCGAGTATATCTACCCAAACTGGGGTGAATCAATATTTTAGTTAGGATGCCAATACACACAGGCAAGTTACTCTAGCTCTGAAACATTGCCTATGTCCGAGTAATCACTGCTTGTGATCATGTACGTCTTGTACTAATAAATATGCACAGGGGGAATCATGTGATCATGTAATTGAAATGGAATTAAATCAATATTGTCCCAATGACATATAAGCTGAAAAAGAGATGAACAAAGTATTGCGCATGCCTAGTGTTATAAATATCTAACTTTCCTGGTATTCTGAACTATGTTTTTTTGTATTTTTTTTATAAATATATAGTCAAATAGAAACAAGTAAAGTTTATGTCAAAACATATCGACAATAAAATATATCAACAAATAAAACAATGTTTAACTCTTTTATCGTTTTCATAAAAAGTTCTGCAATGTATGGTTTTCTTTACAGAAATGATTTACAAAGCTATAGTAATGTTGGAACAAACGTTTCCGATGAAGTATAGTATTTGTTGTGTATTTTTCGGAGGGGGAATCCTGAACCTCATAATCTTTAGAAGGGTCTTCGGCATTACCATCCTTGATGATACGCTCACTTACGCTCTCTGCACCCTTGGCATATGTCATAGCAAAATCGAAAGCTCAGTGTGCGCCACCTTAAAGATTAGACAAGATGACTACTGTTGTTTGATCCTGTCATGTACACCAAAATAATCTCGCGACTGGCCTTGAAGTCGGATGTTGCTCCTTTGTAATCTTCAAAGGACATGTATCAGTGTGCGATTGGACAGATTTTTTCACATGATGCAAAATTACTAGCCGCGTGCCTCCAATTCTGCTATGACATATTCTAGGAATACAGAGAGCGAAAGTGACAAATATTTGAAGTTTAATAAAAATCAATGGAATGCTATATTTCCTCCACGACATCGTCTCGAGGGGATACAATACTTTGGTTACTTCATATGAAATAAGTAGGCAAAACATTTAAACAATCAAACCTATAATGTTCAAAAATCATGAATCAATTATCTATGATAATTTGTGACGTGTGGCGTTTGAAGATCTTTCCTGTCCTGGTAGGTATTTTTCATTTTCGTCTTCAAGGGTACACTTCGTGTTCGACCCTGAAAACCAAAATTAAATGGTACTTTGAAGATTCGATACAGGTATTAATCAATAGCATTACACATGCATCGATGTTGCTTCCAATGTATATCAAATTATATATACTATACTAGCGGAAAAAGAAACTGTGCATGCGGAGAATTGTTATAGACCATGTATTACCAACTGTATATACATGGAAATTCACACACATGACCGAGTATGACACAAACACACTATCCGTGTGCCATTGACAGTTTTTCCCGTGTAGTTTGCTCTCTATAGGCGTTGACCAGTTTGCACTTTTTTCTCGTCCAGCCATCCGATTCGACAATGAAAGTTTATTTTTCAACTGTTGGGTCACTCTGTTGAGACCAGTGCACAGTAAAAACAGCATTATAACGTTTTAATTTGTGATTAATGCTATGCCGAGTCTCAATGAAAATGACCGCCTCCGGATTATTGGCATGCTTCAAGCTGGTATGGGCCAAACCGTTGTCTCTACACGTTTTCATGTCCAACGAAACACAATCCGGGATTTGTGGAGACGACATCAACAGTTTGGCCACGTCGGCGATCGACCTCTTGCGGGACGTCCACGTTTGACGTCACGTCAACACGACAGTCATATTCGGCTTGTCCATTTGATAAATCGCTTCCAAACGGCATGTTTGACTGCACGGATATTCCTGGGTTGCTACCAATAAGCCCGAGAACTGTACGGAACCGATTGCGTGAACGAGCTATCCGTCCGCGACGTCCTGCAATCCGCCCAGTTCTTCTACCACGTCATCCTGAATCACGTCTGGACTGGCGCAGAAGGCATCTGCGATTTACTCGACGGGATTGGCCACGAATTGTGTTTACGGACGATTCACGAGTCCACCTGGACGGCCGTTCCAGAGTGTATCGTCGCGTTGGAGAACGTTTCCGTGACGTGTGTGTGGTACAACGACGTTCTTTCGGCGGAGGCAGCATTATGATTTGGGGCGGCATCACAGCCAACGGGAGAACGCATTTGGTGGTTGTTAACGGGAATTTGAACGCGCTACGTTACCATGACGAGATCCTCCGGACCCACGTCGTTCCATTCGTGCAAGGACAGCAACGTCACACTTCGCTATAGCCGGACAACGCCAATCACACAAAGCTCGTGTCGCTATGGACTTTCTGGCCCAGCAGAACGTTGACGTGTTGCCCTGGCCTGCTGTATCCCCCGATCTGTTGCCCATTGAACACGTCTGGGATGAAATGGAACGCATTTTTACGGGCATTGCCTAATCAACTGGTGACATTGGCTGATTTTCCTGCAGCGTTGGTACAGATCTGGAATACCATCCCACAAGTATTCTTGAACCGTCTGATAGGCTCCATGCGTCGACGTTGCCAGGCTTGCATTCAGGCAAACGGTGGACATACGGGGTGTTAACTTTGTGAACTCAGTATTGACCCCTGCTGTGTTTACGTCACTCCTGAGCGGAACTTATTGATTCCATAA